TTTCCCTACCTTCAGAGATGCCAAGTAAAGCTAGCAAAGCGTGAGGAAACAGGCAAAAGATTCTCTGTTAACTCAAATACTATATAAGTAAGTCCTTTCATGTATGAACAATGTTTACATACTATTCTTTAAAGAAAAAATAATCTACAAGTCTACATTGACTTCCAGCAATAATAACAATAATAAATAAATAAAAAATGAGCGATATTGACTGTAATTTCGGGAACTGTGACTGTGATTGTGATCCTGATTGCTGCTGCTGCTGTCTTGATTTTGATCTGTGCTCTGATGGCTGCTGCTGCTGCTGTCCTGATTTTCATCAGTGCTATGATGGCTGCTGCTCTTCGGTGAGAGTACTCCTAGTTTCTATCCTTTTTTTCGTTAAATTTTTTATTGAAATTATAGCTTTTTTTATTTTATTGAATGTTCTTACTTCATAGTTGATTATCGATGCCACCCACATAAATTTATTTACTTAATTTGACTTTATAGTCAGTATATTAATTAGTTGATATTTTTCTTACTTAATTTGTAATTTATTAGCGTCGATGATTGTGATTAACTGACGATTGCGGGCTAATGTTGTGTTCAATTTGCATGGATATATAGGACGGCAACCATAGTCTCTGTTGTTGTGTCGTTTGCATCGGAAGCAGTGATCGTAACAGAAACCATAGAGATAGCGGCTTCGTCCCATGGCTGTGTTGTTGGGATTGCGGTTCTCGAAGGAGAAGGACATCGTCTTCGGAAGGCCAACGGAGGCCGGATCCGAAGCAGAACGGGACGAAGAAAGAAGAGAAAGGGAAGAAGAAAGAGCCTGGAACTTGCTGCTCAAGCCACGGGCCCTTTGATACCTCACCAAGATACACGCATCAATACGACTCCTCCGATTGGAACAGAACCAAACATCAGTGCTCAAGATGTTCATCCATTCCACCATCACCATTGGACCCTCCTAGGATGCAACAATTTGGTAGATTAGATCATGAGAAGCGTTTTATAGGGCATGGGATGTATTATTAGGGTATAATGGTGATAATGTTGCAACCCTCTCGATATATTTTCAGATGTTTTTTAATGGTTTTGATATACATATTCATGTCAAAATCATGGAAAATTGTTAAAAAATATATATATAAATTAATACATTTTCAGTTGAAGATCTTGTGGAAGCCCTTTTTAAGTATATTAGGAAACATTTTCTTGACTTTTCTTTAGCTCTATGGTTGAATGTTTGAGTGGAGGGATATTTTTAGCTCTATGGTTGAATGAATGTTTGAATGGAGGGAAATTTTTAGCTCTATGGTTGAATGAATGTTTGAGTGGAGGGATATTTACTATGCCCTAATCTCTCCCTGCCTATTTCTTACTTCCCATGTTTTACATGAAGGGTGTAAGAAGTTTTCCGAAGTGGATTTAATATGCATTAAGATAAGTTCTGAGGTCTCCCTCAAGACAAGACATGGTGTTTGAAGTAGATTAATATCTGCAAATCACAGAGAAAAAGGGGATCGTCCCTACACTGCAAAACATAAGATGCATGATCTACGATTTTGGTTCTGATAAAAGTGATAAAGAGTATAGTTGTGCTCTAATTTTTCTATAAAAGTAAAAAGAGTATAGTTGTGCTCTAGTTTTTCCGATTATAATAACGTAATATTTGGTTATTGTTCTAAAATATAAGAAGAGATGGAGACTCAAGAGACATTAAAGTTGTGGATGCACGAGCAGCCTCTTACTTCGATGTCGAGTCTAAAGATACGACGAGTCCTTTTCTTGCCCTAGTGAGTGAAGAAACGAATGTTGAGTAAGCGAAGTGCCCCATAAGCTATACAAGGGCAAGCTACATGTATAAATTCCATGAACAGCGATTGAACTGAACGCTCAAAAGCTAGTCGATGATTGCCTTAACCATTCAGCAAAATGGAAGCAAAAAGAAATCATTAACTTGACTCTCTCCTCTCGTGTCAGTTCTTTCATCCATACCATGTTGTTTTTCGAGCATAGTGCAAAGATCATTACGGCAATGATGTAAATGCTACCTCTATGAACTCGTGTTTCAGAAATAAGACCTTGTTAGGTGTCTCTAAGGTTGCCTCCAATACCCTAGTAATTCTTTGAATCTGAATTTTCCTCTCCGAATCAACAATTGATCAGTTAAAAAGGGGCAATTGCTTGTTAGATGACTACCCAGCTCCCGTGCTTGACTGGATTAAGATAACACAAGGAGCTTTGAACCACGCAGTGCTGGTGCGTTGGCTTGAAGGTTTTGCTTTATCATATTGGGAAATGCTCGAGAACAGGGGTGTATTTACATGTTGGGAGTGCTGAAGATCAGAAGCAGCTTTGGGGTATTTATGTTGGCTTACGACTTGTTAAAGAGAGAGGTTGCAAAACTTTAAGGTGAGGGGAGTCAAGAGTCTGATTTCCTTAGCTATTGTGACCCTTATCAAGGGAACCAAAAATGATGACAGCAACATCCATGCTCATTTGTCAAGGCCACTCGACAGATTCTTCATCGGCCATCAGTCAAGTTCATAGCAAGGCAAATCGATGTGAATATTGGCTTGCTAGCCATGCTCTCTCCCCAGAACTGGAAGTTCCCTGTTTGCCATTTGCCGTTCCCTGTTGTTTTTCCATTGTGGTTGAAGACATGCACAACTTGTAACTGTAGATTAAACTCCCCTTTGACCTTTCTATCGAAACTTGGGAAGATGGAACATAATTGATCACAAAGACTGAGCACAATAGATTAATACACAAGAACCCTAGAGAGTCTGGCAATTAAATGCCACCAAAAAACACGCAGATAATTTTGAGAGGGCCAAGTAAAGATCATAAACAAACTTACACTGTAGTTCAAATCATAAAAAGTCTAGACTTCCGTACGTCTGGGACATGCGACAAAGTCACTACCAAAAAAAGGTTGCGGCCAGAACTATGACCTTAATAGATAAGAGTTTGCTTCACTTAAAGCACTTGGCATCCAAAAGGGCCTCCCCCTCAAATGGCTCACAATCTTCAATCATCTGACTGGCACGCTCCTTTTGAGCTTCATCTGAGATGTCAACTTTTGTCCATTCATACAGCTCCATGTCATAGCACTCATCGATGATAAATTGGGGGATTTCTTGCCCACGGAAAAGCCACAGCCCCTTGACCTTGAATGGAGGCTCTGAGCCGATCACTAGCATCTTCCCAAAGGCATACTTGCGAGCCAAATCCATCCTTTGAAGAAATCCACCGACTTTGTTCAGGGTGACAAACGACACAGTATTCTCCTCGTTGTACTTGTAGTTGCAGAACCATAGCGAGTAACCCTCAGGATCATACATTTCCCAGAATCCTACAATAGAAGTTGAAGATGAGAGGCCATAACTCCATTAATAACAATAAAACAAATCCAAATTTACTACAAAAAAATATAGAAACCAATTTCTTTTTTGCACTTAAGACCAAAAAAACTTGGCACCGCCCAAGAGTTCAAAGTAAACCCCTGTCAATCCAAAAAAATCCAGTCTAAAAAATAAAGCATCCTGATTTCTTCCCTAATTCTTCTTCCAAAAATAATCACACCATATATATCTATAAGTTGGAGGCTATTTGAAAATAGCAGATTCACTGCTCAACGAGAATGGACATGGGAGAAAATCAGCAGAAAAAGGGTAAGATATACCTTTGATAGCAACCTCACGGAAGTTGGTCTTGGTGTTAGAGTAGAGCCTCTTCCAATCATCCAAAATCATCTTGCTTGGTGGCAATAAATCAAGAGGATTTTTCGGTTTTGGCTTTGGTGCCTCTTCCTCTTCCACAGAAGGTTCAGCTTTGGGCTTTGCCGGCTCTTTTTCCTTGGCTTCTTTTTTGGGTTCCTCCTTGGCCTTTGATTTAGCAGATTCTTTGGGCGGGCCAGGTTTCTTAGCAATTGGCACAACTACTTCAGCCTGCTTGACTTCACCAATTACCTTCTTGACATTTGGTTGATTAATCATGGTCCAGAAGTATCTCTCAACATGAGGGAACTCTGAGGTAAAGCTCTTAGTCATGACATGAGCAAATCCTAAAAATAGATTGCATGTCAAGATGATGTCAGCAAGGGTCACAGAATGCCCAACCAAGTAAGTGTTTGAGGCAAGATGCAGGTTCAGGGCACCCAGTGCTCTCTTCAATGCAGTAATCGCAGCCTCCTCAACCTTCATATAGCAACATCCATACATATCGATATTAAAGGGCCATCAACAATATGAAAAAAAAAATAGAACTAGCATACAAGGAAATCTTGAAATTACAGAATAAAAAAAATTAAAGAATTAACTAATTAAAATGGCATAATCATGTCAAGAATACAATCTCCTTGCATGTGCATTCAATGTTGTCGCATAATAGAAACCCATTCAAATGCTCATCACAAATGGAAACCATATTTGTTTGTGACAAACAGTATTTACTATGCCATGGAAAAATATTTACGATTTTATCATTCCATTCACTCTCTTTAATTTAGTCCCACATGAATATCTAATAGCAGGATTTTCCCTTATAAAATGTGGTCCTACATGACAAAAACATTAATAACTAGCAATTGGAAATGACTTGGCTAAATAAATAAACCAGTGTTAAATTTAACATGCTGTTAAAAAGAACTCATTCCAGAGACATGAAGGAGAGAAAAACTAGAGTTCTCAGAGAACGCAGAGCACAAAAAAAAAATAGCCAACTTACTGGAGGGAGATATGGTTGAAATCCCAATCTAGGATAAAGCCATCTTGCAATACCAGCGTCAATCTCTGTTGCTGCAAAATCCATCCACTGCTCGATATGGGCCTAAAAGGATTAACACAAATAATAAAATATTAGCATAACAAATTATGTGAACACGAGCAACTAGCAAAAACTATGACCATTGTTTCACACTAAAGATCTTACATAATCAATCAATGATGAACCATATAGAGGATTCTCAGCCTTCAATCGAGTAACTGCAAGAACAAGTAGTAAAAAAACTCAAAAAAAGTGTCCATACAATTATCATAAAATCCATGACACATAACATCTTACAAGAAAGCATCCACCGGCATGCAGGCAAATCGAGTCAAGCGTAAAGCCTTACCATAACGTGCAATTGCATTGCTCTCGAAGATAGGACCATCAGGAGTCTCCAAGACAGGAACCTGATAAAATTATTACCAGATCCCCTTTATTTAGAAATCTAATCCAACACCGATTTCCAAAAAAAAAACATAAAAAAAAATTATACCTTTCCAAGTGGGTTCATTTTGAGAAACTCAGGAGTCTTGTTGGTGACACCCATCTCAAAATTCTCAGCAAGTTTGACATCCACACCAGAGTATTCTGCAGCGATCAGTGCCTTGTATCCATTTTTGTTCGTCTTACCGGCATACAATACCTAAACCGAACCAAACCAAATTAATTTTAATCCCTTTAAGCTAATTTTCATAAAATATAACACAAGTGTATAAAATAAAGTATAATTCAAGATTAGGTTAAATTGGATTAGAATGAAGAAGAACTTACGAGAGCCATGGCTGAGAAAGGAAACGAGTCGCTCCAATTTCAGATCTGAAAACAAACAACAAATAAAAAAGTTAAGAATGCTAGTAGTAAAAAATGTAAGCTAATTCAAGAAAAGAAAAGGGCGATCTGTGCTTACAGGCGTTGAGCACGAGAGCTGAAAGAGGCAACGAGAGAAATGTGAGAGAAAGGGGACTTCTATTAGGGTTTTATTTGGAGGCAGTGGAATTTCGCCTACTGAAAGTATATTCCGTTTTTATTTATTTATTTATTTATTTTTATTTTGGTGTCTCACGATCCTCGTTCACATTTTATCCAACCATAGCTATAATACTACACGATGAAGGTGGTGTTTGTTTTTCCACTTTAATTATGTTTTAATTTTTTTTAATTTTTTATATTTTAAAATAATATTTTTTATATTTTCAGATTCTTTTAATGTATGATATCAAAAATAAATTATAAAAAAACAATATTATATTTTGATACTTTTTAAAATAAAAAATACTTTAAAAAATAATATCTATCACAATCTCAAATATTACCATAATATATATTTGATATAATGATGGGAAAACATTTTTCACTAATTATTAAAAAACACTAAAAATATTATTTTAATATTTTTTCAAATCATCACATTTTTGAAACACAATTCCAAACTAAAAAACAAAGAATGCCTAAAACAAGATATAAATCAAAGGTTGAACTTTTTTATAAAAAAAAAAGTATTTCAAAAAAAAATTACCATGTTAAATATTAAATTTTGACTGAGTTAAGCTCCTGGAATAAATAAACAAGTTAACTCAATGTTTTTATTAGATCAACTAGTTTTTGTTTTCTATACTTTCTTTAACTTAAATTGATTTAGGCTTTATGCTGGTTGGGTCTTAAGTTTACACGATACATTAATTTGAATTTTACAAATATAGATCCAATATTTCTTTTGTTTATCAAATTTAAAGTACATAGTCAATTTAATCCCTAATGTGTTACTATATTATCAATTGAATCATAACCCTTTTTGTTTTTATTAATTTTATCCCAAGATCATTATGAACCCTTTTATCCATCCAATGATAATTATAATGAAAATAAAAAATATAATAAAAGGAAAGGGAGTTTTAACCATGTTTTACTATAACTCTAGAGACATTTTATTGTGGACTACAATAATGAAATTACTAATTTTCCTCTCATTCACATAATAAATAACCTTACTTAAAAAGGTATTAGGGTTTTGATGTGAAGCTTGTGATTGCATAATCACATAATCCACAATTAAGATTAAAATATGATCCTAGAAAGTTGAATAAGGTATAATAAGAATGTGACATAGTGGAAACTTATTCCCTAGACATCTGTAATATTGAAATTAAATCGAATAACACCATGAAATCAATTAATATTTGATAAGTTATTTTAGTTTTTTTCAAAAACTAAAGAATGCAAAAATTACTCTTATACATAAGCTGAAAATTCATAATAATATTATTCAACGACCTCTAAATTTTAGGCTTATAAAAAATTTGAATACTTTTAGAAAATAACTCTACTAGATCTATTCATGTGGACTAAATTGACCCACTTATAAAATTGACTCAAAACCTATACTAATAAATCCAAAACACCAATTCAGACAAGCTTTGGATTTTAAACTTAAAACCATGTATTAATTAAGCTAAAATAAGCCTTAGGTTATAATTGAAATAAAAAAAAAACTCATAAATTAATTCTCTATATTGTTGTGAGAATGGAAGATTAAAAATAAAACAATATAAGTCTAATATAAGGTTTATTTATATAGCCTACAATGTTGTCAAATGACCCTAAAATTATGAAGTTCTCAAAACAATTTATGATATATTTGTAGGAAAAAGATCTTTGCTGAGTATGAAATCCACGAGTTAAAATAAAATAAACAACAAATTTTGCATAACTTATTCTAACCTACATCACAAGACTTTCTCAAATTTTGATTAACCTAAAAGTTTGTCCCAGCATAAAAAAAACCTTCAGAATCTTTTGATAAAGTTTTAGTTTGATTAAATGGTTTGATTTGAAGTTATGTTCAATAGCGTAAACCTGGATAATAAAAGATTTTACGTCAATGTCTGAATCTGAGTTTGCTTATACCATTGAGTGTAATTCTTATAGATTTCAAAAGGTTGGTGATGCGTGCATTGGATGCACAAGTGTATGGGAGGCATTTGCACACTATAAGTGGTACATGTGGCGCCTTACCATGGTTAAACATAATTCTTTATCGTCTAATTAGATGCATCACCATGTTTTTTTTCAGTCGGTGTGTCATGTGTCATCCACAGGTCAGTGGTTTGTTGGTAGTGAGTCTTTTTCTTTTTTTCATTTTATTTTATTTCTTCTCTCCTAATAATTTATAATTGATTTTCTTTATTTTTCGGTATTTGTGATTTTTTCCTTTCTTCCATTGATTTTTTATTTTTGTCATTGATTCTATAATAAGAATTTTCTTTTCTTTTAATTTATTTTTTCAATTTCAATTTGTAATGTATTATGTGTTTTATTTATTTATTTTTTATATTTGACCCTTTGATTTCTTATTTTGTCATTGATTCTATAATAAGAATTTTCTTTTCTTTTAATTTATTTTTTCAATTTCAATTTGTAATGTATTATGTGTTTTATTTATTTATTTTTTATATTTGACCCTTTAATATAAGTTTTTTTTTTTAATTTTACCATTTAATTAAGTTTATTTTGTGTTATTGTTTTTAACTTGATTCTTTTTTTTATTGGAGTTATTTTTCTCTTTATTTTAATCCTCCAAACAAAGATTTTTGTCCTTTTTTCTTTGAATTTCTTCTTTTCAATAGTTGTCTTTTTTTACTGGTGTTATTTTTTTTATCTAGTACTTTAATTTCAATTTTTTTTTTTATATTTTTTATTTAGTCCTTATTCTTTGGATATATTTTTTTCTTAACTCTTTTATAAAAAAATGGTTGGTTTTTAATCTCACATTTCAAACCAATTTTATGTTGTGTTATTTTTTCTCAATGATCTCCTCATTTATTTTTTCTCTTTTTTTTTAGTTATTTTTATTTTTAATTTAACCCTCCAATAAAAAAATTAGTTATCCTCTAATTTAATTTTTTATTTCAAATTATCATGTATATTATTTTAATTACCATTTTTTATCTTAGATTTTTTTATGTAATTGATTTTCCTGTATTATGCTATTCAATGTTTGTTAACTCAACCTAGTTTTTTATCCTCTTTTTTATCTAATTTTGTGCTTTCATTATTTTTTTAAGGTACCATGATGTTTTTTTTATAAATTATATGGTTAATATTTTTTTTATCATTTAATTAAAATAAAACTAACTTATTAATCATAGTCAATGATTGTTGATTGTTCTTATTTTTTAAAACATGTTATTGTTTTTTTACAAAAACAAATTATAGGCCTGCAACGTAATGAAAGCATGTGCCTAGTATATTGTTAATTTACGTAGGATTTATACATATTCATTAAGTGTTTTAATTAAAATGAATCATGATAAAGTTTCCTTCACTTTACTAGTTTGAATAAAAAAATGCCAATTTGTAAAAATATATCCTTGCCTGTTGATCAACGAAAACTAAACTATTGGCCTTTGATGTTTTTATTTAATTTTGATCCCTTGTAATATTTGATTAAGACAATACAATGCATTTATTAGTTTATCATCCATTATATGCTTAGCAATATAGTGCACTATATTGAAAGCATCATTTTGATGCTTTTAATGTGGTGTACCATGTTATCAAACATATCATAAACAATACATAAATAATATATATAGAAGATTTTCTCTATTAAAAAAATTATAAAAACTCAACAAAGTTTTATTGATTTTGAAAAATAAAAATAGAAATTGAAACTCGCTTGGAAAGCCCATCAATAATAGTATATCTTCCACCATTAAAACAAAAGTTCAAAAAGATTATGAATACATTATACATGCACATGTACTCATGGATTTACATATGAAAATTATTATTTTTTCCTTCATAATTAAAACCATATAACTTGCTTCCGAAAGAGAATTTGTTTTTTTCACGAGATCTATTAGCTTCGGAAGCAAGTTATATGGTTTTAATTACGAAGGAAAAAATAATAATTTTCATATGTAAATCCATGAGTACATGGGCATGTATAATGTATTCATAATTGTCTAGTCTCATTATATACCTTGTTAAAACTATTTAATTCTTTCCATTGAGTTATTCTTCTTCGCTTCTTTTTAGGAATCTAGCATTTAACAAGACAAAAATTAAGCTTAGATATGTCTCAAAGAAGAATGAAAGAAGGATGCTTTTCACATTTGTCATTACAAGATTGAATGAAGGTGGAACAATCTTTTAATCATTTGTCGGCTTCCCACTAAGTGCAAATAATTTCATGTTTAGACCATGTCATTGGACTTTGATATCGGGTACACATATTGACAAAGCTAGGCCTAAGGAAATTATGAATAAAATAATAAGAAAAAATAAGAATTTCAAAGAAAAATCTTAATGAAAAGAGTCATTATTGTATTTTTATTATTAAATAATTCACTTTGAAAGCACCTACCTGTTAAAAAGGATTACAACCTAACCTTTTAAATAGATGTGAAAGTGAAAATAAAAAGAGAAAAATCACAGTCACGATAAATTATATAAAAATAAAATAAAATCTGAAATTAAGGCTAAAAATCTAAATTTACATGGAAGAATACATAAATTTACAAAAATAATATTTTTTTAGCAAAGCTTTCTTGTTCTCGTTAACCTTTTAGCATGAAACAAAACATAATGGATAGGAAAAATAAAATGATAATTTTGCTAATTTCCAACAAAACAACCAACCTTGTTAACAAGAGTAAGGATATATATATATATTTAGTAAGGATATTTTCATACATACAAATTAGCAAAAATAATATTTTTTTAGCCTAATTTGAAAGCTTTCTTGTTCTCATTGACCTTTTAGCATGAAACAAAACATAATGGATAGGAAAAATAAAATGATAATTTTGCTAATTTCCAACAAAACAACCCACCTTGTTAACAAGAGTAAGGATATTTTCATACATATTTTAAAATTAAATTCACAATTAAAAAAAACCTAAAATCCCTTTGAAATATATTGTAGTTCCATATCTATAAGTATTATTCACTATAACAACAATGTAATAATAATGTTTTTGCACCTCTAACCAAAAATCTTTACACTGGTT